TGTCCTATGTATATATATATATATATATATATATATATATATATATATATATATATATATATATATATATATATATATATATATATATATATATATATATTATGTATATGTATATTTACATATATATATATATTTATATATATAAACCCTCAGAATTAGGAAAATATATATATATATATATATATATATATATATATATATATATATATATATATATATATATATATATATATATATGTATATATATATATATATATATATATATATATATATATATATATATATATATATATATATATATATATATATATATATATATATATATATATATATATATATATATATATATATATATATATATATATGTATATGTATATGTATTAGTGCTTGCATATATCTTTGTAAGAGTGCTCAATGAATTAAAGTAAATGAAAATGATTTAAATTAAAACAGAGCTGTGTTTACACAATGTAAATGTATATATCAATATATATATATATATATATATATATATATATATATATATATATATATATATATATATATATATACATATATATATATATATATATATATATATATACATATATATATATATACATATATATATATATATATATATATATATATATATATATATATATATATATATATATATATATACATATATATATATATATATAAATATATATATATATATATATATATATATATATAAATATATATATATATATATATATATATAAACCCTCAGAATTAGGAAAATATATATATATATATACATATATATATATATATATATATATATATATATATATATATATATATATATATATATATATATATATATATATATATATATATATATATATATATATATATATATATATATATATATATGTATATATATATATATATATATATATATATATATATATATATATATATATATATATACATATATATATATATATATATATGTATATATATATATATATATATATATATATATATATATATATATATAATATATATATATATATATATATATTTTTTTTTTTTTTTTTTTTTTTTTTTTTATTTTAATTCACCTCCTCAAGGCCGAGAAGGCCACTACAGACGAGGAGGCTACTTATTTGTGGTTATAACCCTCTCTCAACTCTATAACTCCAAAACACGAACCTTGACGAGCAAGGCCGCTGCGCGGAGAAACGAGTTGTATATTTATATATATATATAAACCCTCAGAATTAGGAAAAATGAGGTCCGCAAATTATTGCCGACCTCAATCTCTTTGAAGTCGGCATCAGGTCGGCAAAAATTGTTTGATATAAAGGTCTGACCATAAAACACAGAGACGAGGTCGGCATTTTTTATATATATATATATATATATATATATATATATATATATATATATATATATATATATATATATCAGGGATGCTGAGTCCGGAGTCGGAGTCCGGAGTCGGAGTCCGGAGTCGGAGTCTGGAGTCGGAGTCCATGGAGTCCCTCTTTTAGCCTGGAGTCCGGAGTCTCAGGAGTCCATAACAATTTTAGGACTCCGAGACTCTTTTTTTATTTTTTTTAGTTATTTATATGCTTAAAAAAAAACCTGATGGTCTTGACACAAAGCACTGCAGAAGAGCACTTAACCTGGAAGTTCACCTCCTTCCTTACCAATTTCGTTCATTTGGCCAGATTAAGTACGGTTTGTAATTCTTGCAATAACAACATTCTTTCTTTATATTTGTGTGCAACAATCTCGACCAGTAATGGCCACTAACTATGCACCAGATACAATCTACAGACATTTTCATCGTACAAATAAAATTTTGAATGGATGTAAAGTAGTATGCTTTAAATGTCTTGTACCCGAAAAAAATAAAAGTAATGAGTTATGCGGTAAAGAAATTACATGTGCCGCAAAAGCCCGCATTAGCAACCTTATATGACACTTATCTAGAAAACACGCGGAGCGTGTTTTCTAGATAAGTTCCTCTAGTTTTCTAAGTTCATCTAGTTTTCTAGATAAGCTCCTCATAACGTTAAAAAAAGGAAAGTTAGAGAAAATATTAGAAGAAAAGAATAAGAACCAAAAAATATAGTCATCAAAGGCAGTAGTTCACAGCAATCCATATTAAAGTGTTTTGTACCGCAGCAAATTAACTTGCATATAACAAAAGATGAATTTTTAGAAGCCTTAAACAAGCTGGTTTGGTTGAAGGACTTTCATTCCAGGTTCAAATTATTTTTTCTTTAATATTTATTTTTTAATTTCAAAAAAAGTCTTAGCTGCATTACATTTTTAAAAATTATGTTTTTTTTTGCGAATTTTTAAAAAACATTTATTATTCTAAAAACAAATTCTATAGGCGTTTGATCGAGAGCCTATTCAAAAGCTTTGCGGATAAGTTGCATCTCAATATGGATTTAAAATAGGATAATATGGATTTAAAATAGAGATAATATGAGAATTCAAATTAGCGATCTTGCCAAAAAGCATCGCAAACAAATCAAAAATAAAATATCGAAAATGTTAATTTATTTAAAAGTCGATTCTACATCAAGGCATATGCGCCACTACCTTGGTATAAATGCGCAATACTTGAACAATGATGAAATTGTTGTGATCAATCTTGGCACCATAGATAAGGAAAATACAGCGGAATACACTAAAAAAATTATTGAAAAGTGTTTAGATAAGTTTGGGATCAATAAAACTAATATTTTAGGCCTCAGTGTTGACAACGCGGCAGTAAGTATCATATTTTGAAATTCATCTATATTTTTTTTAAATGAAGAAAAAGTGTAAATTCAATGATTAAAAATTTTCAGTGAATAAAATCATTAAAAAAATAAACTGTTTTGATGTTTGTTAAAATGTCAAAAAAATCTTTTATATACTGTAACATATATTCACTAAATTTTAAATTAACTATTGAAATCAGATTTAATATATTTAGGTGAATATAAAGTTGGTGCGCGACTTCGGCATCAGCGCCATTGAGGAAATTGACGATGACGAAGGCAATTTTTCAGTAGAAACTGATGAGTTTGACAAAAATGGTAATTCTACAGCGGACAATGCAGCAGCAGTCTTGGTAAGTGGAGTTGCCGGTAGCATGAGTGTTATACATCTTCAAAGATGTGCAGTCCACACTTTACAGTTAGCTGTGAATGATGCATTGAAGAGGCCCACAATAAAAAATCTTATTAGTCATGCGAGAGAAGTTGCGAAAACTGCAAGAAATTCTAAGTGGATTGACTTCTTCAGGGACTAAGCTACACATCTCGTTCCAATTTTAGATCAGGCTACCCGTTGGTCTAGCCAGTTCAATATGATTGAGAGGCTAATTAAGGTAAGTTATAACTTATAACTTACCTTAATTAATTTTTTTAACTTTAATTAAAACTTAAAAAGTTTTGAATAAAGTTTATAAAACTATTTCTTTTTTTTTTCCAACCGGTATAATACAAATCCAATTATTTCAATATTAATGACATTTACATTACTTAATAATTTTTAAATTTACTTTTATGTAAATATTTCTTTAATAATCCTCTTCATTTAAGTAGTTAATAACATTGTACATATATTTAATGAATTTTTCTGTTCTTCTAGATTCGACCAGTAATTCAAAATTTGAATATGCAAAAAGAAGCTCCAAAAGAATTTTAATGTGCAACCATATTTTTGGGGAATGTGGGAGGAATTGAGAGATATATTGCAAATGGCACGCGATCTTACTAATCGTCTTCAGCGTGAAAACATCACAGCAGGTGAATTCCTTTTTGATTGGAATTCAATAAAGTGTGAACTAGATGGAAAGGACAGCGACTTAGCCAAAGATTTCCGGAAAGGAATGGATAATAGAGAGAGCGCACTACGCGAAAATTCGTTGTTTCTTGCAGCAGTTTATGTGGATATTAGGCATGGCTGTATGCTGACAGCAACTGAAGACAAGGTTGCTTTTTTTAATAAAATTTTATTTATATATATACATTTTATTTATTTAACTTTAAAAAGTATATATTCAAAAAACTATAAATGTTTCTATAGATAGCTGCAGCTGATGGACTTAGGAAAATTAATTACAAACTGATTCAACTGGCTAATAAAAATAAGAATGATGAACTGAACAAAACCAAAAATACAATAGCGTCCAACTCTTTAACAGTTCATATTGCAGACTCTAGTTCAGAAAATGAGGAAAATGCTTCACCAGTCGCAAAGCGACAACCGAATTTATTTATGTTGTGTGAACAGGAGATTGAAGAGAATTCTTCAGAAGAACAAATGCAGATTCAGCTAAATGTAATAGAAACGGAGTTTCGACAAGCTCTAAAAACGATTCCGGAAATTCGTACAATGCTTAAAGACAACTCCCCCAACTTAGACGAGTTTTTAAAACTTAACCCATTAAAAGCAATTGAGCGGTTTCCTGAAGTTTTACGGGATGCCTGCCGAGTCGCTTTGTCGCTACCCATATCCCAAGTCAGTGTTGAGTGACTATTTTCAGTCTTAAAGCACATGACTCCAGACCATCGTAGTCGATTTACATCTGAGTTAATTGACAATATGCTTTTTTTACAAACAAACGAATTGCAATAATGTTTTCTTGTAACTTTATAATTTAGCGCGTAGTTAATGAAAATATAAGTTTTAATCTTTTTATAATTTTATGATCATATGGTTTAAAATAATCTGAGAAATTGATAAATCTGTGTTTCCTGTTAATTGCTTTTCCGCGGGGCTCTGCGATTATAAATGGTAGCCTATCAATTTTCTGGAATTTTCACGTAAAAATTCCAGATAAAAAAAACCACATTTAATTTAAGAAAAAAATAAAAAACTCCGGAATCCGGAGTCGAAAATAATAAAAATTAACAAAAAATTAAATTTTAGCTTTTAGTTTTAGGGTATTTACGTAATGTCAAAAACTGTTTAGATAAAAGGCCATGAATTATATAAACTATAGTTTTATCAATTTATACCTGGGTTCCTGTAAAGGAAAAAACACTTTTATTTTCTGTTGCTGGGTCTTCTTTACTTTCTCCTTGTCCATAGAACATTGCGCTTACCATCATTGAAGTCAGTAACAAAGAAACTGCAACAGACAACCTTTGACATCTGGTAAAGTTACTTTTAGGTGATCGAGCTAAAACTGAAAACCATAAATGTTCATCAGAAAGATTATGTTTTGCTTTTAAAGTAAAAACATAGGTAAAATCGTTTTGTTCTTCTACTGATGCCGCTGGTAAAACACAATCTATTGAATATGAGCCACGATCTACAGCAAGCCAACGATTTCCAATAAAAAGGTATTGTTTTTCAGTTTGAAGATCAATAATAATGATGTTTCTAAAAATAAATTCTTCTAAATTAAACTTTTTAAATTGTTGTTTTTAAAAGACTTTTATATTTAATTCTAATTTATTATTCATTTTATAATTTTTATTATAATGATTATTATTACTATTTGCTTAGCAAATATATGAGTTCCTACTATTATAAATTTAAAGATTTCAGTTTGTAATACTAAAAATGATAAATATAAAAAAACTAATAAAAAAATACTCATTAAAAAAAAATTTTGAAATTGCAATAAACACTGATGATGTCATATTGAATTAGATAGCTGCAGGGGCCTCAGTACATACATTGATAGACTTAATTAGAAGACATACAAGGACAGCACACTTAATTAGAAGACATACTGGGGCAGCAATTATATGTTTCAATGTTTTAAATCAGAAACTAGGTTTTAAGACTGATCTTATTATCTCTATTTTAAAAAAATTAGTTACCAAGAACTTTTCTTATAACTGATCTCTTAAATCTTATGACCACACTTTTCCTGTCATTTCAAAGAAATATGTTAATCCACTATAAACACTTAAATTGCTTATGCTTTAATTCCTAAAGTTACCACTCAATCAAGGATTGTAGCCCGGACTGTGACAACAATGTCACAATCTTTTATCTCAAAAGTGTTCTCTAGAACTCTCTTTACTTCTAAACTAGTGTTTATCTAAACGATTTTCAGCTTTTTTTTTAAAGAAACTGGAGATCACTCATATATACTTTTCTGATAATTATTTAATTTGTCACATGGTTTGTTTGACAACTTGTGTAACAGGATCAAACTCTGTTGCAGAGTTAACATCTGCAAAGGTTCTGCAAAGGAGTTAAGCAAAGGTTGCCTTTCTTTCTTATGCTATACAGACTGGTTCTTACAATAAGGCCTTCTTGCCTTTTAAGCAGTCAAAAAATGCAATGCAAATATTTTTGAATCTGCTTTGCCAAGCTTAAGCTTCTGTGTAACATTGTTGCAAGGCTGCAAATCATTCTGTTTTCTACAAACATTATTATAGTTGCTGCTGAATCATATCTGAACCATAGCTATCGTCATATGTTCCATTATCAAATACTTCTAATTGTTCCTCTAATTTAATAATGTGTGTCATTGATGCTGTTAAAAATTTTTTTAAAAATTTCATAAGGTTATTAAAATTTTTTTTGTTAAGGCATATATAACTTTAAAGTGTTATATTAAAGCTTTATCTACTATAGCATATTTATGTAAGCATTTGCTCACTTTTTGCTTATCAAAATTGATAACTTTTTGCTTATCTAAATTGATACAGCTTTTTTAGAAAAAGAAGAAAAAAAAGATTGCTGCCCCATCCCAAACCCTCAGTCGTTGTTGCAGCACTCGGATGCAAGTCAGGCTATTTGTCAATCGATGTATGGACAGCAGCAGGTTATTTCAGTATAACATCACACTGCTCACATAAATCAGCAGTATAAGATTTTAAAAAAAGAAGACGTTTTCAAAAAAGGAAAAAAAAAAATGAAAGAAAAGATTGCTGCTCAAACCCTCATTCAATGCAGCGGTACTCTTTTGCAGCAGCAGGTTATAAGATAGTCATTGAATTTAGTGAATCCCTCTGCAGCAGGCAATTTCAGTATGATGTCAGTGATGTTATCTAAATGCCCATATATATATATATATATATATATATATATATATATATATATATATATATATATATATATATATATATATATATGTATGGACATTTAGATAACATCACTGACATCATACTGAAATTGCCTGCTGCAGAGGGATTTGCTAAGTCAGACAAAATATATGTATATTTTGTCTGACTTAGCAAATGTCCAAATTAAGCAAAGCTCTAGTTATGTCAGACTTTCCGAAAATGCCGAACTTATCGTGATTTCAAGAATTATTGACTCAGGAATGTTTTATCAGGTGTTTAAAAGCCACATAAAACATGTTTTATCCAAATTGTTGTTTAGGGAGACTTGCATCTTCACTCTTTTCGTAGAAGTTTTATTTTTTCGACTTCTGAATATATTTATAGTTTTATGTATTTTTATGTTATAATTCTACTTGTTACTTTCTTTTAGTAACTAACATTTTTAATAAACAGAATTTAATTGAAAATTAACCAAATTGAAGATATCAGAGAAAATGATTGTTAACTTAAATTTTACGCATAGGTATTTTAGCTTTTGAACATTTTGAGTTTTGAATTTTTAATATAAATAGTCATTAATAAATAGAACTTAATCAAAGCTTTACCAAATCAAAAATATCAGTGGAACTTTTAATTATGTTTAAGTAAATTTGATGTAAAGGTATTTTATTTTCGAGCGTTCAAACTTTGAAATTTTTATTGAAGTATTGGATGTTTTGTAATTAAATGCACTTAAATGCATTTCAAAATAAATGTCCAAGTTGAGCAAAGTTTTTTGCCGAAGAGAACCCTCCAAAAAATTACAAGTTAGCGAATGGTCCGACTTAACCAGTGTATGACTTAAGCATGTAAGTATGTAATTTTATAGTAAGTTGATAGAAAGAGTTCCAGGGGAATTGAAAATTTGTCTGACTTAATATAAGTCTGACTTATCCAGTTAACAGGATTCTTTTGTATATATACACACACAAACATTTATATTTATATGCTTCATGACTTAAGTATGCTACAAATGGTCAAAAACAACTGATATTGCCTTGAAATTAGTGCTTTTAGGTTTTCTAGTGTCCTTATGTACTCTTTTATTTTCTCAAGTATTTTGTCAACTGCTGGTTTTTTTTTTTTCTTTAACTCTTTTCTTTGTTTTCTGTTAACTAAATACTGGTTTCTTTGAATCTAGATAGTGGTTACTATCAGCTTTATTGCAGGTAAACCTGTTTAAAAAACAAATACATACATACTCAATATTCGCTACTTACTTTATGTACCAACCTCCACCACTATTATCATGCCAAAATCTTATATAATCTAAATCACCAAGAGAACTCTGTGTTGTCATTATAAACATATCACAGCTTGATCTTTGAAAACATTTTCTTTCTGAACCTTTTAAACGTCGAACTTCACTGTCACCCATGTCACCTGTTCAATATTGTAAAAAGTATTTGCTTTATTTGAAATAAAGAAAAACAAAAAAATATATATCATTCAAAATATTATTTAAATATAATTATTCAAAAATAGCTCATTGAAACAATTTTGCAGAATACATTTATTTAGTTAAACTTTATATTTAACCATGCATTTATGGTGAATTTATTAGGCTTTTTTTTATAGTATTAATTTATTTTAAAATTTGTTATTTAAAGTTTTATTACAAAATAACTTTTAAGTATTAATTTTATTAAAAAATAACTTTTTAGTATTAATTTTAAAATTTGTTTTTTAAAGTTTTATTAAAAAATAACTTAAATTATTAGCTGCATCAAATTGTATTCAAACCATAGAAAATATTTGAAAGTAAAAAAAAAAAATATACATAGATATACAGTAGTGCTCAAAAGTTTAGCAGCAGAATTAAATTTACTTTTTTCCATAAATGTTTTTTTTTTTCAGTTAGTAAATCTTAAAAACAAAGTTTTTTTCTTTTTATCAATTAACTAGACATAACCAGATAAAATAAGACAGAAAATTTAAAAAATTTGCTTAAGCACATTTTTTTTTTTAAGTATATATATTAAGCTGCTTATAAGTTAAGCACTTTTTAAAGCTTTTAAAAGGAGCTTTTATAAATTTATTCCTGTAAAGAAGCAGCATAACAAATTAAACTTTCATGAAATATTACGAAAATATATTTAAAGTAGTATGTAGTATATTAAGTTTGTTTTAAAAAAATTCATTTTTCTTGCTTAATTCTAGATTATAATAATAATAGAAGTCTGAATATTTCCCATAGGAAGAAAAACAATAAGTCAAGAAATTAAACAGCATATTATTGGCCTTAATATGGGACGTCACTTGAACATTGAAATATCTCGAATTTTAAAGTGTGTTTCACCATTATGTGTATGTAGAACTATTGCTAAGTTTAATGAAAATGGTAGTACTGCTGACAAAAAGCATTGTGGGCGACCAAGAAAGACAAATATCACTGATGATAATTCTATTTATAGAATCGCCAGTAAAAATCCTAAATACTCAGCAAAACAGATTGCACAAGAAATAAACCGGGCACTTAAAAATCAAATATTAAGGCAAACAGTTAATAGAAGACTAATAGACCATAAGCTGTGGTGATATATTGCTGCCAGAAAACCATTATTAAAACCAACAGACCATTTAAGACAAATGAATTTTTGCAAAGCGATTTTAAAAATGAGTAATTATGAAATTAAGAAATACTGTTTTTAGTGATGAATCCAACTACATCCTAAATCGTAAAAGCAAAGTAATTGTCCGTAGGCACCACAATGAAAAGTATACTAGTCACTGTATTGAACCAATACTACAGGGTGGAGATGGTGCAGTTGGTATTTGCATCACATATGATGGCCCAGATCTACACATGAATGTTATACAACAATTTCAATTCTATAAGAAGAATGTGGTCACATTCCTTATTAAGGTTCAACCTAAAAACAAATTTGAACCCAAGTGTCTGAGCAGCTTTTTTTTTCTTATTTTATATATGATTAATGTCTTCCAAAAAATTTAATATAAATTTTTCATTTTTTTTTATTAAATTTTTTCTCTTAATATGTTCTAAATAACCTAAAAAAAAAATTTTGCGTTTGAAATAACTAAAATTTTTAATCTTTATTTCTATTTTTATTTTCTAAAGAAAATTTTATTATTGATTCTGCTGCATGCTAAACTTTTAAGCACTATTGTGTATATATATATATATATATATATATATATATATATATATATATATATATATATATATATATATATATATATATATATATATATATATATATATATATATATAATACATACATACATATATATATATATATATATATATATATATATATATATATATATATATATATATATATATGTATATATATATATATATATATATATATATATATATATATATATATATATATATATATATACACATATATAGCATGATGTTTTGCTTTTGCATTGCTTTTATTCCTTCTAATTGGTTCTAAGTCAAAATTCATTATACTCCATGGTTTTCACCTGCTTGTGCAAACGCTTATCTAATGACAATCATTTTTTTCATCTTTTTCAAACGAACGACTCTCTTGAGAACAAACAGCTAATTATTATTGCAATTTATCAAAGACAAAAGGTGCTGCCTGATGCTAAGCTTCATTAATCTCTGTTCAGTAAAACTCACATCTTATCTTAGAACTTAGGCTCATATAACCTTTGGAAAATCTTCAACAGCCTCATTAACAAGGTTAGGTCTAATATTCCATCTCTCATTCAAGAGACTGATCTTATTACCTCTCCCAAGGATAAGGTAGAATATTTGTAAATCTCTTATTGTCCCTGTATGGGACGAATAAGAGACTTACCAACTCGAATGTAATAAAAAGTTTACCAACTTGAATGTACGCTATGGTTATGATATTTTTGCACCCTCATACCATGATCCTGTAAGATGAGGTTTTGCATAAAGACTAAAATTACCATTCATTTATAATTTTATTTCAAAAACCTCACCCAGGATCTAAAAAAACTGTTTTAGAATTTTTTTATTTATGACTATAATATAAAGGACAATTTTATAAAATAACCCTCCTCCTCTTAAATATACTTAACTCTTTACCAATTTTAAAAATATAATAAATCTATCCGTACTGAAGCAATTCCATCAAATATTGGTATGGATGAGGAAAATTCTGTGAAAAAAACTAAAAACAATGATGTAATTATTTTTTATCTAAAAATGTGAACTGATTAGGAAAAGGTATTTTAGGTTTTATTTTCTTTCAAAAAACCAATTGAACTAATTATAGCTATAGCACTGTGGAGAGCGGTAAAATAATAAACTTTTTCATACAGTCATTCTGGGTAAGATTGAATTTACGGATAACATTGAATGAAAACCTGTAAAGGTTTTAAAATTTTTTTTTTTTTTTTGGTAATATCTTTGCCTGTTTTTCAACCAACAAGAATATGATAAATTACTTTTTTTTACAGAATTTTTACCATAGTTAAATAAGTTTTATTTGTAAAATATGTTTTTTTTCTATTCTAGTGACAATCAAAAGTGGTGATAAAAATATGTGTTTTCAATTTAGAATATTTTGTATTATATTTTGAATTATTATTGAAATATAGAATTATTTGTCAAATTTTGACATAAACTCAAAATAATATGTACTTACATGTTTTTTTGCTACAAAAGGGAATTGTATTTCCATTCAGTTAAAATATAGCTAAAATCAGGATTTTGGCTATATTTTAGCTGGAAGTTAGAATATTTAATTTTATCCAAAAATGTTTTTCTTGATTTTTTAATACTTACGGTTATTTTTATAAATTTAGCCAATATACTCTTAATAAACTAACTTTAACTAATAATAGCAAATTTTATTATATTTTTAGCATTCAAAAATATCAAGAAAATGTTTGAGAACTCATCCTGGCACAAGAAGATATTGTACATCCTAAATTACTAAATCCACTTAAATTCTGCTCTTTAAGAGGTAATTAGCAAAAATTAAATTTGAAAAAATTATGATTATTTCTTCTTTGTTTCTAATTTGTTGTTCTTCTTTGTTTCTAATGTTGTTTTCGGTACTTCGAAAAAAAAAAAAAAATTAAGTACCCAAAACAACATTATTCTATAAATTAAAAAATAAACACTGTAAATTAGTGGGACACCATGTAGTCTTTAGTATTGATTAATAATTTTGTTTATAAATCACTTTATATAAATATAAAAAGAATACTTTTTTTTTGCTAATAACTTAAAAATTTTGTTAAAATCTAACTAGATGATAGTGGAAAAACAAGATATTAGTTTAAAGATTTCCAACCAGGTTGAAAATGGTGTTAGCTTTATCTTGAAAGATGTTTGTTGTTGAAAGAAAAAGTACCCCGTAGTATTTCAAGAAATTGTATGCAGGATTATTATATAAATTTTATTTTTCAATTATTAAAAACCTAGAGAACAAAATAAATGGAATAATGCTAGATAACATGCATAATGTAAATATAATGTGAAATATTGATGTTGGATAAATTTTAAGAAAAAATAAGCAATTTATTGAAGTTTTACATGTTTCAAAATCAGTTTTTTCATTGGAACAAGTAAACAATTACAATGCACATGTTTTAGAAAATCATGGTTATGCTATTAAAGAAATTATTGTGACTCAACATTATACATAAAACATAAAGACTTGTGACATATGAACAAATCGAAGTTAGTTGTGATTTTTCAAGTTGAAAGAGACAGTGATAATATTGAAAAAATCTGTCTCAGAACAGACTACTTTTGACATCTACTAACACCAAAAACCAACAGCTTGTGAGCCAGGGTATCAGTTTAATTTGTTGGCTAGGGTAGTCTCTTTTAGCGCCTCATTTTAGACCCACATTTTATGGGTGACATCCAAAAATACTAAAGCTTTTATATTTATATTAATTCTTTACATTTTACATTACGTTTTTGCCAATTTTTTAAAACATGGCATATTCAAGTGTAAAGTATGCTTGCGCAATTATCCCCAATTTTGTCAGTTTTTATATGTTGAAGCCCGAATCAGTTATATTTATTTTTTATTATTTTTTATAAAAATGTGTTTGGTATCACATATAAAAACCTCCACACCTATACTAATTTTTGTTTTCAAAATATTTTGCTAGGTAGAATTGCCCTAAATTAGGCTAGACTTTTTAGGCTAATAGGTATCGTAATTATTTAAATAAATAATCAATTAATAGGTTTTGTTAGAATAATTAAATACAATATAACACATTATAATATATTAAATATAATACATTATATATTTTATATGGTATGCCACAAGTATATCATATATAATATAATATAAAGTATAACCATAAAGCTATTAATTAATTCCACCTTAAATTTAAACTTCATTAATCATAATAATTGTAATTATTTCATAAATATTAATCAACTAGTCCTTACCTCCCTAACAACACTAATCGTGGCCCCTGGTACCCACTAACTATGTATCACTATGGATTATCTTAATGAAGTTTTTGCTACTGTTCTAATGAAGTTTCGGTTAATGTCTGGCCACAGGTAGATCAAATAGCGGAGGGTGCTATGGTTGACCCAGCATTAATAAAGACAGGTTAAGAATCATTTAGCTAGTTTGTTTTGCTGGAATAAGATCAGTATGCGTTTTAATAGTTGGGAACCCACCATCTCCTTATACTATAAATAAATACAACTACCCTCCAACAAAATTGCCCATCCCTATACCTGCATCTACCCAATTCCTATGATTATTTATCTTACAGTGGTCTGGTTTCAGATCAGTATGATTTTTAATAGTTGGAAATCCACCTGCTACTAATACCAAAAATCGATTCTAAAACCCCTATCTTTAAATAGAGTTGTTTTAAATTAAATTTATTCAATAACAATTGATATAAACTTAAATAATATAAATTTTCATAGATAGAATCAGAACAAACTTTCATAAATGAAAATAACTTTAAATTTCAAGGTTTTACTATCCATTTCTTCTCCTTCTTGGGTATTAAGAAAACGCCTTATCCAAATGAGCTAAATGTGCGTATACAGAATAGAACAAAAAGAGTACTAATAATTTCCTAAGAACTAAAATTTACTCTTTTTCTATAGTGGTGCACTTTAAAAAAATTTTTCAATCTGTGTCCTGGGTGAGGTTTTTGTAAATGCTAAAATGTAGTCTATATCTCATATTAGCACTATTGCTCATTGTGTAGAGCTAGGGCCATGTTAAAATAAAAAAACAAACAACTGAAAATATCATAACCCTAATGAAAAAAACAAAAAAACAAGATGAATAGAAAAACATAAAAAAAAAAAGGAAGAAAACTAATTGGAACAATCGCAAAACACTTTTGGTCATCACAAATAATTGTACTAGAAAATCAGTGCGGCTATTGAAAGATACAGATTGCAATGATACTACCCTAAAAATAAGATTTTAAACTGAGATAACAGCAACCTAGTGATGTTTCACTATTGGAAACTTTTTTTGTGCACAAAGATCTTCATATTTTATTAATGAAATTTAAATACATGAGATTTTAGGTTTAAACATTACAACACCTGGCATTTTTCTTACCAGCTACTGTAAAAAAGATGTTAGATTCTGTACCAGCATCTTTTCGATTTCCAGTGTATACTATTATTTGATACATATAATTATCTTCATCCCGATTATCAAGAAGTGGACAAACACCAATCTAAATTTTAATAGAGACTTTCTTTATTTAAATTATTTAACACATAATTATTTTAAAATTCTTTATTAAACTCTTTTTTAAAAAATAATAATCAATTTACTTAAAAAAACTAAACAAAATAAAACTATTATTTAACAAAGATATTTTAGCACATATAGCTTCCTTTCAGGTGCAAGTTCCTTTGTTTGTGTTTCCTATCAAAGGAAAATTGATTAAAAAATTATTTATTTTGAGGCTTTCCCTACCTTTTTTTTAGATGCTAATGATTTGTTAATGTGCAGCACATTTATGTTTGAAAATAATATTTAATAAAACCAAAAATTAAAATAATCATTTAGTTGTTGTACAGAAAAACAAAGGATTATTTTTGTTTTGTAGAAAAAAAAAATCCATTCTTCCAAATTCTTCCAAATTCTTTATCATTATAATAATAAAGAATTTGTAAGAATGTATTTTGTAAGAATGGATTTCTCAAAAATTATGATTAGTAGAATGGCTTTTTTAAAATTTCATAAAAGGTAAAATGTAATTCTCTAAGGTAATGGAAAAAAAAAGTTATAAAAAAAGTCACGAGAACCATTCTTAGTTCTACTAAATTTCTTGGTTTAAGTAAAAATAAAATCAAACAGTTAAAAATAAAAAAAAAATAAAAATAAATAGATAAATTAATAATAAATCAATAAATAGAATGCTGACCTAACTGCTGATTTGAAAGTGTTTGTGGTTAGCAAAAAATTGTGGTTATCAAAAATGTTTTATGGGAGCCCCTTTGTCTCAAATTTTTTTTACCAACCACTTTGAGGTTTGAGGTCGGATATATATTGCCAACCTCATTTTTGCTAATTCCGAGGGTTGATAAATAAATAACTATTAATGAATGGAATGAAAAATATAAATGTTTATGCAGATAATGATAAAACATTTATGCAAAGATAAGAAAAACATAAAAATAAATTTAAAGTTTTATTAGTAATTATAATAGTAATAGTACTAAATGTGTGGTATAGTTATAGCAACTAGCTATATATACATAGTTACTAGCTATGTATACATAGTTAATAGCTATATATACATAGTTACTAGCTTTATATACTAATTATATATACATAGTTACCAGCTATATATATATACATAGTTACTAGCTATATAAACATAGTTACTAGCTATATATACATAGTTACTAACTATAAATACATAGTTACTAGCTATATATACATAGTTACTAGCTATATATTCATAGTTACTATCTATATATATAGACATAGTTACTAGCTATATACACATAGTTACAAGCTATCAGGGTGTAAACTAGCCCTGAGGAGTTCTGTCAAATGTGGTATTCCCAAATGCTCATAAAATTGAAATTCCCAATTAAAAAAAATTCCATTCTCCTAATAAAGATTGCTAATTCATGAATTAAAATATAATAATAATTTTCAAAATTATAGAAAATTAATTGTTATTAAATATTAATAGAATAATAGTTTTTTCACTGGAATGGGAAGAGAAAATAATCATATGGGCATGTTTAATACAAGTTTTAATTTGCCTAAAGTAAAACTATGCATGCTCACTTGATTAATTTTCTCTTTCCTATCCCTTTTTTGTAGAAGAATGGATGAGTGGAAACTCATCTAAACTGTGAAAATGTTTCTTGGAAAAAACTTCTTGAGAGTTGGATTTTCCCAGTAATTCTAGGGATTTTCTTGGCAACTTATTTGTAAAATTTTTTGCAATGCCTTCCAACAACAGCAAATATTGTATATAAAAAAATAAAAAAAATAAAGTACTATCTAAAAAAATAACAAATATGTTTGGTTTAACATTCACAAATGTCATTTCATCAAAAGTTTTGCTTATTTTTGCTAAAAATTCAAATTCAAAAATATGAAATGGAGAGGCAACCCTGGTTGTGTTGGTTCTGCTTATTAAGTCTTACTTCAAACTCAATTTCAAGTAGTACATCTGCTTTGTCATATAAGTTTATTCAAAATATTGAGAAGCCGCTTGCGTCAGATACTTATGAAATTCTGATAAGTGCAAGTATTACGGTAAGTCTTTTAGTTATTGTTTTTCTTTTTTTGTTTGGTAGTTTATATCAACTGAATTAGGTGGTTGCATTGACTATTTTTTATTTTTTATTTATTAACATAAACTAAAATATTTTTTTACCTATCTACTATTTTTTCTTAACTAACTTTTAAAAAATAACGATGCTGAAATATAAGTTGAATACAAAATATGTTTTATTATTATAACAAACAGGTACTAGAAATTTATTTAACAACGAAAATAGATTCTTTTACTTTACTACTCGCTTGTATTATGAGAAATCCATGTACATGCCTGCCAGAGAAAAGAAATATATATTTAAAAGAATACTCTTGAAATAAAAGTGGCAAAGGTACATTAAGGTTGAAATCAAATCAAATATATAATTCTTAATAATAAATAATATATGCTGATTAAAATAATATAAAAATATACAATTCTTAATAATCAAATTTTAATTTGCCGTATCATTGTGAAGCCAATTTAACTTTGTGTTGATTTCATATTCATCTTCAGTAAATGTTACAGTATTTTTTATTTGGAGTAGAAAAGGTAAAAACAACATAAAAAAAACAACAACAACAAACACATTTTAATCTCAATGGGGTTAGCAAGGGGTGGGTTAGGGGAGGGAGTAGGGAGATTAAGAATATTTTGACAAATTCCCTATTTCGTCAAAACCCTCTATCAAATTTATTCCTGGTTTACACCCTGGCTATGTATACATAGTTACTAGCTATGTATACATAGTTACTAGCTATGTATACATAGTTACTAGCTATGTATACATAGTTACTCGCTATATATACATAGTTACTAGCTATATATACATAGCTATCATTTATGTATACATAGTTACTAGCTATGTAGAGATAGTTACTAGCTATATATATAGTTAATAGCTATATATACATAGTTATTAGCCAAATATACATAGTTACCATCTTTATATACATTTTTAATAGCTATATATACATAGTTACTAGCTATATATACATAGTTACTAGCAATATATGCATAGTTACTAGCTATTTATACATTGTTACTAGCTATGTATACAAATGCTATATAAGCTATATAATAAACATAAAATATATATATATATATATATATATGTATATGTATATATATATATATATATATATATATATATATATATATATATATATATATATATATATATATATATATATATATATATATATATATATATATATATATATATATATATATATATATATATATATATATAATATAAAAACATCAAGTCCATCAGTCGCACAATTGCAGGATATTTTATAACCAAGGTGCAACTGAGAAAAAAACATGCAACTGTATCAACAAATCCATCTGCCCCGTGAATAATCAGTGCTTGACAAAGAACATCATTTATCAAGCCACCGTGTCGTCAAATAAAAATGAATACAAAAAAAAAAAGAGTATATTTTGGCTTATGTGAAACTCCATTTATATCTCGGTATGTTACCATATCACCTAAAATCTTTAAGCATTAATAAATATAAAAATGCTACCTAGTTGTCTAAAGAAATTTGGGACATAAAAGGCAAAATGTTTACATCCTCAATTAAGTGGAAAATTGTGAAACATTGCAGTCCTTACAACTCCTCAACAAAAATCTGGGCTTAAATAAAATATTCCTCATTTTAACATACAGGGTGGCCCATTGGTCACTTTACATTTTAAAAAGTAAATAGCTTTTTCTAAAATGACTGTATTTAATTAGTTTTTAATTACAAAGTTTAGAGTCTGTAAGTTAGTTCTGACTTAGTTACAAAAGATAATGTCTCTTAAATAGCCTCTATTTTTGTCTTCACAAAGTCGAGCTCTTTTTAAGCTATTATCCATGACACTTCTTAACTTCTGAGGGTGTAGGGAAAGAATTTCAAGTCGTATGTTTGCCTTAAGTTCTTGAATAGTTTGGGGCTTATTTACATACACTTTGTCTCTAAGATATCCCCAAAGCCAAAAGTCTGGTGCTGCCTAATCAGGAGAACCTGGAGACCATTCAAAATCGGATTTAAAAGAATTTATACAATCCTGAAACATTGCAGTTAACAACTGCATTGTGGCTCTAACGATATGTGCAGTTGCTCCATCTTGTTGCCACCAATACTCTGCCATGTTTGCTAACTGAGGTTGAACAAAATTTGCTAACATGTCTCGATATTTCTGAGCAGTTACAGTCACAGCATTTTCATTTACATCTTCAAAGAAGAAGGGCACAATAACCTTTTCTGATGTTACTCCACACCATGTTTGACTTTAACTGGGTGAAATGGACTTGCATGAACTTGGTGTGGATTTTCGGTGCCCCAGAATCTAGTATTCTGTTTATTCACATGACCATTCAAATGGAAATGAGCTTCATCTCCCATGATCAACTTGGTAATAAACTCATTGCCATTTCATGCAGTTCTCTGAAACCTGACAGCATAATTTAGTCGTTTCTGAAAGTCTGATGGTTGTAAAAATTGCATTAATTGAATCTTATAAGGGTGTGCAAGTCTCTTTGAATGCGCTGCAGAGAACTCTGTGAGATGGCAAGTTTTTGAGAACGCCTTCAAGTGGATGTGGCTGGGTTCTCTTCAATGATACAGCTCGCAGCATTAGCATTTTCATTTCCAAAGATTATATTTTATAATTCTGAAAAGAGAAATAGAAATATTAATAGAAAAAACTTATTTAATTTTTATAATGTAAAGTGAGTTATGGGCCACCTTGTAAAACTGTAAAAACTTGTTACATGAACGAAATGAGTTGATTTGAAAATACAGACACAAGAATAAATTCCTTCTTATCTTATTTTTGACTCTGGTGATTAGCTAATCTTTTTTTTTTTGTGGTTGTTATCAAGTATGTCTTTTAGCAATTTAAAGAGCCCACTAAAAAGTACTTTTTTACTAAAAAGTAATTTTCAGCTCTTTTTT